GTATGTGGTCCTTTGAGGACAAAAACTCCTAGTGGATCTGTTGATGTTCTTGGTATAAGTGATGCACTTTATTTTGTCACTTTTATAGATGATTTTTCTAGGAAAGTTTGGGCCTATGCTTTGAAGACCAAGGATCAGGTTATTAATGTCTTCAAAGAGTTTCATGCCAAGGTTAAAAGGGAGACAGAAAGGCAATTGAAATGGATAAGATCATATAATGGTGGTGAGTATACAGGATTATTTAATGATTATTGCAGGTCACATGGGATCCAATATGAGATGACAGTTCCTGGTACACCTCAGCATAATGCTATTGCAAAGAGAATGAACCGCACCATCATGGAAAAGATCATATGTATGCTTTCATAGGCCAAGCTACCCAAAAGGTTTTGGGATGAGGCTTTAAGGACTGTAGTTGATGTGATCAACTTATCACCATGTACATCCCTAGATGGTGATGTTGCAGAGCATGTATGGTCAGGGAAAGATATTTCCTACAGGCATTTGAGAGTGTTTGGTTGTCATGCATTTGCACATATTTCAGATAATGAGAGGTCAAAGCTGGATGGTAAGTCTAAAGAATATATTTTTCTTGGCTACTCACATGATTATTTTGGTTACAGGCTTTGGGATCCAGAAAAGCAGAAGGTGTTTAGAAGCAAAGACGTAGTCTTCTTTGATGATCAAACTTTTGAAGATTTGAAGAAGAAGGCACCAGCCAATACTTCTACAGAAGGATTAGCATATTGTGACCCAATTACTCCTCCAGTATATCAGAGTGATGAGGGAGATGTGTAGGAAGATAGTATAGAGCCTGATGTTGATCTACCTGCAGGACATATTGAGCAAGAAGAAGTTAGAGAGCAACTTCCCGCAGAACCTCAGTTGAGAAGATCTTCTAGACAACGTCAACCTTCCAGAAGGTACTCTACAGATGAGTATGTGATGTTTACTGATACAAGTGAACCAGAGAATTACCAGGAAGTAGTTAAAAGTGAGCAGAAAGAGAAGTGGTTAGTTGCTATGCAGGAAAAGATGAATGCCCTTCAGAAGAACCATACTTATGATTTGGTTCTACTACTAAATGGAATGATGGCCTTGAAGAACAAGTGGGTTTTCCGGTTGAAGACTTAAGAATATTGTTCTCAACCAAAGTACAAAGCTAGATTGGTTGTGAAAGGCTTTGATCAAAAGAAAGGTATTGACTTTGAAGAGATTTTTTCTCCTATTGTTAAAATGTCTTCTATTCATGTTGCTCTTGGTATTGCTGCTAGCCAAGACTTGGAGGTTGAGCAGTTAGATATGAAGACAGCTTTCCTTCATGGGGATTTGGAGGAGGAAATTTATATGGAGCAACCAGAAGGCTTCAAAGTCAAAGGTAAAGAGAACTTTGTCTGCAAACTGAAGAAGAGCTTATATGGGCTAAAGTAAGCTCCAAGACAATGGTATAGAAAGTTTGATTCATTTATGACAGAAAATGGATATAAAAGAACGGCTTTAGATCATTGTGTGTACATCAAATGGTTTGATGAGGATTCTATTATTCTCTTACTTTATGTTGATGACATGCTTATTCTTGGGAAAGATATGTCTAAAATTGATAGATTGGAGAAGGAGCTAAATGAGTCTTTTGCAATGAAAGACATGGGGCCAGCAAAGCAAATACTGGGTATGCAGATTTCCCATGATGGGGAAAATAAGAAGATTTGGTTGTCACGAGAGAAATACATCGAGAAGGTATTGGAAAGATTCAATATGAGCAATGCAAAACCAGTTGGTTCTCCTCTTGTAGGTCACTTCAAGTTGTGCTCAGAACAAAGTCTGTCAAGTGATGAGAAGAATGAGAAAATGCAAAAGGTTCCTTATGCTTCAGTAGTTAGAAGTTTAATATATGCAATAGTATGTACGAGGCCAGACATCGCATATGCAGTTGGTGTTACTAGTAGATTTCTTGCAAATCCAGGTAAAGAGCACTAGGCAGTAGTGAAGTGGATTTTTAGATATCTCAGAGAGAGCTATAAGGTTTGTTTAAGCTTTGGAAGTAAACCACATGTGTTGACAGGTTACACAGATGCAGATATGGCAAGAGATATAGATACGAGGAAGTCTACTTCAGGTTATGTACTTACTTTTGTAGGGGGAGCTGTGTTATGGCAATCCAGGTTGCAAAAGTGTATTGCTCTCTCCACCACAAAAGTAGAATATATTGCTACTATAGAGGTATACAAAGAAATGTTATGGATGAAAGAATTCTTACAAGAATTGAGGCTGAAACAGAAAAATTATTTGGTGCATTATGATAGCCAGAGTGCCGTGTAAGAACCCGATGTTTCATTCCAAGTCAAAGCATATAGATGTCAGATACCACTGGATTCGAAATATATTTGAAGAGAAGCAGTTGCAGCTTCAGAAAATTCACACATATGACAATGGAGCAGACATGTTGACAAAGACTTTACCGAAAGAAAGACAGGAGATATGCCGACAGTTGATCGGCATGGCTTCACATTGAGGAGTCATGGGATAGCCTCCCTTATGGGCTGAAGGGGGAGGTTGTTGGGCTGACAGCCCAAAATGGGTTCAGCCCACACCCCCTCTTAACTTAACCCTAGATCAATATAAGGGGGGTGTGGTGGCTGCGTTTTGATAAAGATGTGGCTGCGTTTTTTGGGCAGAAAAGGGCAGCAATATGGAGAGCTTTGCAGCAGCAAAGAGGAGAAGGAAAAGGTAGAAAAACAAGAGAAAGAAAGGAAAGAAAATAAGGACAACACAGAGAGACTGTTCTCAATCATCTAGCAGTGTTCTCATCTCAAGTTAGATCAAATCTACAGTAGACTCTTGCTGTGATTACTTGGGGAGGTTTTAGATATTGTGGACAGTAACGTGATCCTTGTATCCCAATTGTTCTCTTGTGATTATTGCTAGGGTTTAGGGCAAGAGATTGAAATTTGTATATTCATTATTCTTATAGTGGATTATCTCTAGTTTGCTCCGTGGTTTTTACCCTTCACATTGGAGGGGTTTTCCATGTATATCTTAGTGTTCTATTTGATTGTGATTTCATTTAATTCCGCTGCATATCATGGTCTGCTAGTATTTGTTCATATGCAAAGGTTATTCCACTCTATATCCCCATTAGCTTGTAAAGATTGTTTCCTAAACCTGTGAAAAGGAAAGAGTTATAAGAGGGTAGTTGGTCTTCACTCATTGAAGGAAGACTGTTAGTGGACGCTAATGGCCTCAACGGAGGAGGAATCGGGAGTAGACGTAGGTCACAACGACCGAACCACTATAAAATTGGTGTGCTTTCTCTTCTTTATTATTTACTTACTTTGCAACTACTTTACATCTTCATCGCTCTCCTACGAACATCTTTAACCTTAAACTTCATTCTGATATGATTTTATTATATGAATTTTATTATTAGGTCAATTCAAAGATATTATTAGAATTTTAATTAAAATATATCAGTCATATGGTAAAATATCTTTAGCAGCTACTTTTTTTGGATAAATTTTCCTAAATATATTGATCTATTTAACCACTTAAGGCTTTGTAATTTTATATAAAAGGGGATATTAGCTTAGGGATTATCCAAACATAATTATTTTGTCATGGCACTATGTTAAGATATATATTTAGTTCATGTGTGAAGTCTAATATAGTTTGCAGATGAAGAGACAGTTAAGAGTTTGATAATCCTCGGTTGAGGAGTCATAAGAGATAGAGTTATGTTTATTTTCATATGATTTGAGGTCAACCCCTATATTGACCCATCCAAAATGGATAATTCATAGAGATGTTGGCTCTCCCTTGATTTTGTTTAGTTTCTTATAGCGTTTTATTGTGGCACTCATAAGTAAAAATAACATTAGTCATTACTATTTTAACACAATGATTGAACTTGGAACTCAATTTATATATCATTGTATTTGTCCCATTCCTATAATTTTGTGATACTATTTGAGCTCTTCATATGATTGTCAATACAAATTATTATGTTCATACAATAAATTAATGTCTGCTAAGACATTGTTCTTGAGAAAGCTGCACTTGATATCTAATTTGTTTCTACTTCATGCAGGTATATTTTGGGTGCAACAAAAAAAAAAAAAAAGGAATATATGGGCCAAAAGACTTAACAAAAGAGTAGACCATTAAATATGTGAATCTTATCTCAATAAAAAGAACAAATCATGCAACAATCCACAATTTATGCAGCACAATTTGGTTCAATGCTTTATAGTGTTTGAAGCTCTTTTTTGTACCAAAAATATATGAAATATCCTAAAAATAATTATAGGGTAGATATTATCTATTTAGATAATTCTAGGGATCAAAACCTCATCGAGAACTTTTCATTAGTCAAACTCACCTACGATTCACAATCTTATTTACTAAATTCTAATTTATTAGCTATCTTAGTTGGTAAATCTCTTCTACTGGGGATCAATTCTTTACACACGTAAAAAAGGAAAAACAAAAATAATAATTTTGTGTTTGAACATCACCCGAAAACTTAATATCAAATTTTAGATAGCAGTCTTTTGAGAGGTTTATGATCTATTTGATCAAAATGATATGGTGTAGAGTTCTTTTTAATGATCTAGCAAATCAGAATTCGAGTCACCAAAATAAACTCTTTGCTGCATGAAATAACAACACTAGTATCTGGATTCATTTCCAACCATGCATTGTTAGGAGTCTTATGCACCAACCCATCCATTATTCAGTAGTCCTAAATAACACTGCATCACTTCCCAAATATCTGCCTGTATTATTGGACACACACAAGATTAAGAATTGGTTTGCTTGGTAATCATTTCAGATCATCATGTCAACATGCATCCTGTCTATGAATGACTTGATCAGAATGGCCAGGTGGTAGTATCAGAAGCATTACATAATTTTCAACAAGTATAACAACATGTAATGAAAATGAAGGCTGTAGTAGTTTTAAGACAAGATAGTGCATCTTCATCTCAGTAAAAAGGAAAAGATCAAAGTTATGCAATAGGAGAATTGAACTGAGTTAAGCGGTGGCTTGTTAGAGCAGCATGCCACTAAGGCCAAGAGAACAGAAGAGTCTGGCATGTTGCATCTGAAGAACCTTCACAGCCACTATGATATATATTCTGGCAGTTGATCTCAACATCATTAGCATGATCAGGAACCAAAAAGGTCCCGGTATGCTGATCCTCCATCCCTGCACATGAGAATCCAGTTGGTGTCACATTGTCAGGTGCCTGCAAGAGCGACTGATGCATGAGACTGCCATACTGTAAACTTGATACGAGAGGCTGACCCATGGGGATCCGATCAGCTGGTGGCACCATATGGCTTAGGCTGACATCTGAAGTCTGAGTCGGCGATGACAGAAGAGAGAGAGCACAATCGGAGTCAAAGACCTGGGTTAGCCCATTGTTGAACATCTTGCTGCTGCTGCTGCCACCACTGCTTCCGGAGGGAGTAGTTGTCCTTGGATTCAATTGACCTACAGAAGTTTGTAGTGTGGATTTGATATCCATGGCAGTCTTAGTATCCTGAATAAAAGGAATTTGGTTTCTTCCTTTGCTAAAGTTGTAAGAGGATCTGGGAAAATGTTGATGGTTGATGAATTGTGAAGGAGTATATGGGGTAGCGTCCTCGGTTTTCACCGTTCTAGTCCAGTTGGATTCCAGTTCAGCAGTTCGAAATATTTGAGGACATGCAGAAAAACCTGTCACTGTATATACAGAAATTAATTAGGAACAATAATACATGTACCGAAGAAGCAACTTCTCATCATAATAGATGTGGTACACATTTACCGCGATAAAGTTATAGCAAGCATGTCATAGTCAAATGTATCAGTGAGTCTCCAAGAAAATTTCAGGCATATTGTCGGCTTAATAAAAAATTGTGAGAACCATGTCATATTATGATTGTTTGACTCAATTAATATCCACAGCAACAGTCATTTGACTGCATTTCTCAGTGTCATCAACAGCTAGTGACATTAGTTAATTACTAAAATATCAATGATAGTTCATTTATTCAAACCAAAATCAACATAGCTAATCAGCTAGAGGCAAGATCAAGCAAATGAAATCTTTTGAAAAAGAGTGATTTAATAATGGCATCGGAAGAGGAAAATAATCATATGCACAAATGGGATGTGCCATTAACAATGTAGGGAAGATGCATATTCTATCAACATAGGGCTGAAACAGTTGCACCCAGTTTCAATTTGTTGCAAGCTACTCCAAGATAATCAAGTGTTTCAAATTAGAAAGAGGAAGACCTTGATGACCTGGAAATATGATCCCTGAATTTACAGAACTTGGCTGGGGTTTCCTTCGGCGTCGGTTGTGCCCATCAAGACGTTTCCTGCAACTTCGTTTTACCTCGTCAAATTCCTCTAGCAAATGAAATCTGAACAGACAAATACGTTAATACTGAATATCTTTTAAAGAGGTGAAGCAGAATCAACAATAAATGGATAAGCCCTAAAAGAACAAGATCTTATTTCCAGAACTTAGCGAGCACTAAACTGGTATAGACCCAAGCTTCACTTCATCCTCATACATATTTACACACCACAACAGATAAAAAGGTATCCAAGCAAAAAAAAAGGTGAACATGCTGACAAACAACAGAGTTGCAGAGAGCATTACACATAGAAGAGTAGGAACAAAACAGTACCATGGACTTGATTTCAGCTTGTAACAAACCATTTAATTGAAAAACTAGAAAAGCCAACTAAAGGGCTTGTGTAAGTTTCTAAAATATAATATATGTTTTTCTTAATGTTCCAATAAAAAAAGAAGGGAAATATAAAGATATGAGTGCCTGATTTTGTAAATATCACGTTGACTTTTCAGTATCCAAGTTCTTTATGAGTGACTGTTATTTCATATTATGTTAGTCACAAAGGTATGTTAACGTCAGAAGTGCATTTATGATACCTGTAGAGGTATATATCATATGAAATTACAAGGGAGCAGAGGGACACATACAAAATTGTATTTACATTCAAAATATTATTATAAAAAATTGATTTCTTTAAAAAATAGATGTTTTTTTTAAATATTCCAATCTAATTTTTCTTACCTTGTCATGCTATACGAAATTTTGTAGAAGTCAAGGTTTGCTAACATTGTAGGTGTACTTATGGTACCTATAAGAATATCTATCATTTTTGAATCTTAAGGCATATAAAATAACAAGCAAATGACACTTTAAATTGCATCTAAAAGAATAAGGTCCAAATATAGCCACCAATGGTAGAGTGATAAGATTTTCCCCTCTTGTCAACAGTTTCCATGCTCTCGAGGAGAAAAGGACGTTTGCTAAAAGAGATTTGATGGAGAAAGAGGAGAAAAGAGAGATCAAGAGAGTTGAAAAAAGGAGAAGAAAGAGAAATGGAGAGAAGAGAGAGAAGAAGAAAGATCTTCAATTCTTATATGCTTTTGGGTCTCACTATATCTTTATTCACATATTCTCATCCCTCATCTTATTATTGAATGAAGATGCACACAATAGGATTTATTATCATAAGAGTACAAAAAAAACAAAGCCGTAAAGTTTCGACTATTTAGGCTCAATTACATGGATATTTTGTCACCATTAAAATCTATAAAGAGTCATATATTTAGTTAAATTAAGAGTATTTAAATTTTTATTTATAGTTTCTAGAAAATTTACGTTACAAAAGCCCTTACTGTTGAACTTTTACCCAATGGTGCCATCCTAATTGATTTTTACTTGGGGACGCTCTTTTTTCGTCAATTTAACAAAAGTACACTTTCGCCCTCCACCAATCGCCCCGACTGCTAGCACACCACTAGCACCTCTACCATCTCCGCCTCATCGGGATAACCTAGTCGTGCACTTGCTTGTGACTAAGGCGAAAGGCCACGTGGCCACATGCGATGTTGGCTGAAGTGACTGCTAGCAGGCTATGCATAGCACTGCAGTGCTAGGGTGCTGGCTACCGGTGAGGATTCTGTGATGTTGGGTTGAAAGGGAGGGGCAAAGAGGAGGGGGCGAAGGGAGGAGGCGATAGGCAATAGGGAAGGGCAAGCGCGAGGGAGGAGGAAGATAAGGGAGAAGGGAGGAGGGGGAGGAGGCGATGGTGAAGGGCAGGCGACAGGCGACCGAGCGGTATACCGTTCCGTACCGTACCGAGAGATCGTCGAAACTCCGGTACGGTACGAAATTTCAAACCTTGTCCTCAGGTCTATTTCTATTATTACTAAAATTATATATCATATATTCATTTTTAGTCCAATAATCTAAAACATTTAGTTTTTAACGATTGTCTAGTAAATTTATCCATTATCCTTGATATAGTTTAAATGACTAGGAAGGTCTATATGTAAATGACTTATAAATTTATCCATCATCCTTGATATAGTTTTATACTAATAGGAAACTCATTATTAGACATGCTCCCTACAATACTCTATAGTACCATACATATCTTAAATAACATCAATATAATTCATCGATAAATCTTTTCTTTTCTACAACCTGTCACAATAAATCCCTAGGAATTTCTTTGTAGACTTTCTCTAAATAAGTAAGAACCATATGTAGATCTTTCTTTTTCCTCTCTACTTTTTCATTACTTATCTTAACAAATAAATAACTTCTATTACTGAAAATCAAATTAATTTTCAGAAATATTTGTTTTAATTTTTATCCTACTTACGATAAATATTTCCTAAAGTTTCATAATATGAGTCACGGTTTTGATTCTTCTATAATTAGAATTTGTATGTCACCCTTATTTTTGTAAATTGACATTAAAAAGCTCTTCCTCCATTAATGAGGCATCTTTCTAAATCTCAAAATTTTGTTAAGTAATCTAGTTAATTAATCTATTCCTCGATCTTATAAACTTTTCCTAACCTCATTAGAAAGACTATCAGATGCTGCACTTTTTTCCATTTTTATCTTTTTATGATGTCCTTTACTTTACTAGATCTAACTCTATGAACATAATTATAAAATCTACCACTATTATCTATCGTTTATCACTATTATTTATTGTTTATAAAATGTTTATTAAATAATTTATAAAAATAATTTCATCATCTTTCCTTACTTTCATTATCATTAATAAATATTCTTTGGTTTCATCATTAATGCATCTAATATAATTTAATTCCTTACATTTTATTTTCCTAACTTTAGCAATTTAATATTTTTTTTCTTCATCTTTAGTACCTAATTTATTACAAAAATTATCATGTTTTATATCTTGTCATACTATCATATTAACAACTCTATATTGTTAGATTCTTTATATCTTTTAAATTTCTCCTTATTTTTATAAATTTATCAATCTTTAAAACATGATCTTTTGATAATAATTGTTTTTTGAACTTTCTTACACCACCTTTTGTATAATCAAGAATCTTCATTGTTAAATTCGTAATCTTAAAAACATGATCTTTTGGCAATAATTGGTTTATGAGCTTTCTTACACCACCAACTCTCTTAAAGTTATACATCTACATTTTGTTTGATCAAAAATCTTCAGTGTTAAATTTGTAATCTTATTAGCCATCGTAATCCACATAATATTAATATTATCCTCATCTAAGTTTCGGGTCGCCTCCCTTTTCTCTATTCTTAAAAATCCCTACATTATTATCTTTAAAATTTCATCACCTAGTCCTAATAAATTTTTCTACTATATTTTTCTTGTATGATTTATTATCATATAAATAGAGACATAGAGAGACATAAAGCTGACATTGCATCGCCACAAAAAGTTCCCTTTTATAGCACCTTATAACTCTTATAATAGGTATCTAATTGAAAAAATAACTAACTCTAACCTATATATATAAGAACTTTTGGACATTATACTTTGACTCTAACGAAGACTTAAAAGACCTCCCATATTCATCTTTGAAAATAAGGATGTAAGCATATTGATATTTCCTAACTCAAATATAACTAAATCTCCCCAAAGGCAAGAGTGCTAGCTAAGATATTAAACTACATATTTAGGTATTCTTCATTGTTTATTTGACATATGGAAATACTCGATATCAGGGTTCTGAATACCGTACCGAGTGGTACATCAGTGCGTACCGAGTGGTACACCTAAATTAGGCATAAAATCTTCTGAAAAATAGAAAAACACAACGGTTCTTAACAAAAAGGTCAGCATTCTTTTAGTCAATATTCCTTTTTAATCTCGAGTATTCTTCTATCATGCTTCGTGTTGATCACTCCAACTGCTGAGCTCTTTTAATACCTTTCGTAGACTTTATTAAGTACTAATCAGAATAAAAACTTCAATCCTAGAAACCTACGGCATCTGCCCGTCCGCTTACAATCTTCGTGTGGATTGTTCTTGCTAGATATGGGCTCCGCGAGTAGGTCCCTGGTCATTCTCAATTGTCTAAGGGTAGCTAAACGAGCATTGTTGTCGATGTACACAAAGCATTTTGAAAAAGGAGGTCAATTGGTGGGCCCCATGAACGAGGTACATAGCAACGGGGAGGGAAGAAAGCATGTACATGGCGAAGCTGGCAGAGCAGTTGGAGCGTTACAAGAAGATGGTGGAGTACATGAAGGTCACCGACGCAATGGGGGAGAAGCTCACAGTGGAGCGCAACCTCCTCTCTGTCACCTATAAGAACGTCATCGTCGCTCGTCGCGCTATCACGGACAAAATTATAAATTGGGTGTTCGACGTAATGCTTATGTATGTCCGTGTCTTTTGGTTTATTCATGCTTTGCACAGCATGTAAAGAGTTGGCAATAGACTTAGCAACCCCATTTTCTTTCAGTCTGTTGTGGACCATTTTGGATCCTTTGTTGTGCGACCATTCAGAGATTGTGATTTACATTGGTTATAAGGTGTTTCGTGAAATGATTGTTTGTAGATCCTGAGTGAAGCGTTTTCTCTAACCCGTTTTTTCTTTTATAGGTTCTAAGGGACCATAGGAGGTTTCGGGGAGGCTGACTTTTGCGGACGGACACGCAAGGGTGTCGCACGATGCAAAACCAGCTAAGTCTGTAACATATGGTATCAGAGCGGGATAAGCACTCATAGAAACACTTGGCATGCAAACGTGGGGGACCTAACGGGGCTGCATTAAGGGCAGCCAACACGCACGACCGTTTGGGGGAAAAACGGGCATGGAGATGTAGGGAAAACGAGTCGCTCAGAGTAATAGCCAACCCTTTGCGCAAGAGGCACCACGAGGACAAGCAAGCTAGGAAGAATGCGTAGCGCATAAAGGTTGGGATGGCTGAGTTTGAGCTATGGCTCAACGTTGGCAACCATACTTGATGGTGCTCAAAGCAAACGAGGCGCTTGGTAAAGGATGAAACCATGTAAGGTGGAATGGGTTGTTCAGCGACCAAAAGAGTTGTGCAAAACTCACAAAGATAAGGGGAATTACAAA